CAACTATGCTTTTGCCAGGAATGAAGTTCCTCTCATGCAGACAGATCTGTACAGACCCATCTTCCTTCTCCAGGTTTGGGATCAGATGATTCTTCACCCAGAGGGAATCCCGTTCACTGTATGAAATAAAAGCATGAAACTGTAAAATGCTTTGCAGATCTTCAGGGTGACTCTTCCGAACTCTACGTTTTGTTTGTGTCCACTGCCACATCATCTTCAAATACCACATTACGTCAAAATAGATACACAGAAAGGATGTCACAGCCACTACCACCACTGTAACAACTAGAGCTATAACAAGCAAGAGAGTTGTATTGCAAGATAGTTCAGACAACTGAAAGTCCTTTAGCTGGGTTCCCTTTAAGCCATCTGGATATTCGCACACATAAGATTCTGGCCAGCCAACCAACCTTCCGTCTGATTTTTTTTCAAAATTAACAAAGTCTCGTAATTCACAAGAACATTGGAATGGATTGTGTCCTCCTCTGAGCTCTCTGATATTTTGACAACTATGGAAGAAGTCAGATGATGGGGTGAGAATTGAATTCTCTTCTATATTCAGGAATTCCAGACCCCTATAATGACTACATCCAGGTAGCTCAGTTAACCTGTTAAATGCAATATTTAGCTCTTTCAAAGCTTTCAGTTCAGTAATGTCTTTGGTGACCGTTGTGATTTGGTTATTTTGTAGATCAAGTATTTGAGCGTTGATTGGCAAACATCCAAAAACTGAGTCTGTCAATTTGTTTGAGGACAAATTCAGTTTAGCCAGAGTTTCAACCCAGTGGCAGTGGTTCTCATTCTCATCATAATACAGCAAATTCCTACTTATGTCCAAATGTTTCAGTGATTTCATTTTACTCGTCATGGAGCTCACCTTGGAAAGATTCTCTAATTGATTTCTCTGTAAGATAAGCATTTTCAAATGAGTCAGAGTGTCACAGTTCTTAAATACCTCATCTGTCAGGGCATTGTATGAAAAATCTAAATATTGAAATAGGCTAATGTGAGAAGGGCAAAGCATGTGTGGCATATACGCATCAGATATTGTCAAATTTTCAATGTTCATATCTGAAAATGCTTTGTACAGAATATCTTGAGAGAAATAAAAAACCTTAGTACGAATATGCTCCAGTATAAGTGCTTTCATTGAATTACCTGAATGGTTAGATTGTGCCCAATTGTATAAGTGTGAAAAGTCAGTATTGGTCATACTCTGAATAGATCCCGAAAAGGTCAAATTTTTTACAGTGAAATATTCTACAGGTGTATACCAAACAATCATGAAAATTCGCGCAAAGATACTCCAGGACAAATCCACATTGTTGAACCTCAGATTGAGTGTCTTGAATTTCAAAGGGGCAAAAGGAGGGAAAGGGATATCTGTAGAGTTATATCTAATATTTGACAATTCTAACTTCTCTGAAGTGTTCATTCCATCATACAAAAGGGGAAAAGAAAAGTTTTTGTTTATTGGGAAAACAATGTGAAGGTTCTTTGTGTTTAAGACTGTCAAACTCTTGGATTCATAGTGAGAAAGGTCTTCTAAAGTTAGGAAGACAGTATGCAGTTGCAAATGTGTAATACCTCTGAAGTCTGACTTTCGTATCATTGTGGCACTCAGTCCCAGGTATTCCAGGTTCAACATATTGCCAAATTCCTGACAGATGGGCAAAGTTTTAAACTTATTGAAAGAAAGATCTAAATGTCTAAGACGAGCAAGAGTCTGACAGCACATATTCCACAAGTTGTTATGAGATAAATCTAAGCATTCTAATTTCTCATTGAATTTGAAAACATTGAAGTCAAGCTCTCTGATTAGATTATGAGACAGATTTAATACTTGCAGTTCAGGCAGAGAACTGAAATCTGAGATATGAAGTTCAGAGATATTTTTCTGTGATAAATCCAACATTGTTGTATGTCTTGATTGACTTTTTGGAACACAAGCTAGAAAGCTGCTTGAATAGTGTGCAGTAAATTCATTCTCCACAGACAGCTGAATATTATTCCACAATGTGAATGTAAAGATACAAGCAAAAAGGAAGATATTTGTCGGGGATCCCATGATTTCCTCCAGTATTATTCTATCTCTTTGAAGAGTTGATAATTGTGTTTTCTGTCTAATATTTCTCAGTGCTGACTCCAACCCTATAAAAAGAAATGGCATGATTAAATTGTTGTATTTTTAGTGAGATGAGGGTATATGGTAGAGTATAATTTCACCACATAGTTTATATAATAAAAATGATATCATGCACATTATTTTTCTAAATTAGTATCAAATTCATATTATTTATTTCCGGTAATTTCTCAAGGACAATTTCTCTGTTAAGTATAAAGGTAAAGTAGCACAAAGAGACTCATGCTTTTATTTTGTTAAATATTTAGTATTTTTCAGTAGGATGGATACAAACACTGATGCCTTTAAAAAAAAATACAGGTACAAACCGCAAAGGTATGAGCAAATACAAACTTCTCAGCAAACTTTAAAATGAAACAAACTGAAACAGCATTGATGTATTTAGGCATTAAAGGAAAAATCTCATGTAAATAAGAATATCTTACTGTGATCCAGAATCTGCAGATCTAAAGTCTTCCATAGGATGTTCTAGATTGGCCTGGTCCTGACACAGTAGGTGACAAAGCTGCCACAAGTCTTGCAGCCCTGCCCAAAGGTCAGCTAAGCACAGTCCTTACACTCAAAGGAGCACAGGAGTTTCTCCTCCTGGTTTAGAGGCAGGAAAGTTGGTGGAATCATGGCCCTATACTCCCTCAACACCAGCTCAAGGAGCCAGCCAGTTATGCGTTGGAGAGCAGGCTACACCAAAGAGATGGTGCTGAGTGTTCATTCCCACTGTGCACTAGTGAGCTTGGGGAAGAATTGTCCCTCCTCCTAAGTACAGCAACTACAATACATCAAAAAGTGTAGAACAATGTGATTACAGTGTGACCATAGTGTAGTCAATGTATCTGTATGATCCAGTATTCCACACAAAGCTAGTACCAACCTCATGGCACTGCAAAGGCCCCCACATCTGCTAGTTTCAGTCCTGCATTGCCTTGCAGTGGCAGCAGGACAGACCAAGAACCTCTAAGAAAGGCCAAGGAGGAAAACAGCATAAGGCAGGATCTGTGGGTTAAAAACACCCTGGGGACAGATATTGTGGAGATAGAAACTGGCCCAATGTGGTGATCTTATGGCCAAACTTTTCAGCATTATGAAGAGTCTTGAAGAGGTGGTTGCCCAACAACAGGCCAAGAATGTTGGTGGCATTACTATCATCTAAGTGTATGTCCATACTATACTCACAGGGTGTGATTGCAGCTCAAGTAAACATACCCGAGCTAGCTTCAATCTAGCTAGCTCAGGTCCTGGAGCAATGAAAAATCCACAGCGCACACTTCAGTATGGGCTGCAAAAGCCCACTCAGAACCCTGGGTAATTATTCACAGGGCTAACCCCTGCTGAAGCTTGCCACAGCTTCACTGCTCCAGTACTTGAGCTAGCTCCAGTGCATCCACTTGAGCTGCAATCCCCTCCTGGGATGATGATAGACATACCCTAAGGCAAGTAATTAATGCAATGAACACCTGACTTTAAGTATTAGTGACTCATCAACTGTTGCAGGAGAAATATAAAACCCTGCACTTTGGTTCTAGACAGGTAAAATGCTTTTCAGTTCACCCTTAAAGTAATTTTTGTTTAAATAATAATCAAGTATTCTATGGTATAATCCTAATTAGACCCAGGCTAATTTGATTAGACTATTAAAAAATCTCTTCCCCTCATCTCTCAGTTCCCTTTTTCCTTTGAGACAAGGAAAGCAAAAATACATGTAAAATAAAGCTAATAAAAGTAACAACAGAAGAGTAACAGGATGAAGTGGAAATGTAATTGCTGAGGAAAACAATGTTTTATAAAAATATGGGCCAGATTCTGCCCCATAGGAGTTGTATGAGTGCATCTGAGGGCAGAAGCTGGTTTTATATCAAGCTCAGACTGGTCTATAGGGCTATATTGAAATTTCCCAGGAAGAACCAAGACAGGGAGACTCCCACACCCCCTCCAAACAGTGGCAGATCCCATTCATCTGCAGATTTGAGTCATGGTTGGCAGAGGATCCCAAATCCCAGTAAAACATAGATCTATATGAAGAAGGTGATCCCACTGCTGCGGGAAAATGGAGTTAGGAGACATAGTAAGTGAGGATTCAGCTAGGATGTGGAGGGACCCAAGCTGTGCACTGTTGTCCCTTGTGTTTGAATTTAGCATGCTGCTGTGGTATGAACTATGGTGAAGCGTTATCTGAGACAGGCACCGCATACGCATAACACTGTTGGGTGCTAAAGTCAAACACTGAAGCAGCTCAGCCTACCAGAGAATGGTAACATGAAGAGGCAGCAGCAGTGATACTTCCAGTTCCCTTTTATGCTAGTTGGAAAAGGGGGAAATTTGCCAAGATATTTGCTATATTTTTGTCCCTTTTTTGTTGAAATTCAACATTGAGATGAAAATTTTCACTGAAATTTCAAAATTCAAATAATTCTAGTCAACATTAGAGGAAACACCAGCCCCCTAGAGTCTGGTGGTGGGATGAATAGAGACAGCATGAACCACTATTGCCCATTTCACCATTAAATACTCTTTATCTCCTTTCTCTGAAGACATTTGTCTCCCAGTTCAAAGCATCTTCATGTACACACCAAAATATGAAGGATATATACATAACACAGCCTACAAAGTCAATAGCAAGTGAAATTTACTCCTGGGCAAAGGGCTAGCAAAAGGCCTATGCAACACTTAAGTCCCACTTAACCCCTTCAAGGCAGGACTTAAGTGATATCAAGTCTTCATGTTGGTCCTCTGCATAGGGGTGAATTTCTTTCCAAATGCAAACTCCTTTTATAATCAATAATGACCACAGATAAAAAGCAGATAAATAAAGTGGAATATTTTTACTCATTCTCAATACTTCTAACAAACAGAATCTCACTGCATTTTATTAAGATACTGATACTAACGTTCAGTACAAGCAAACAACTGTCTACATGCTCATCTTAACATATTGGATACTTACATGACCATATGGCTTATCTGGAAGTAAAGCTGCCTGCTATGTAGAGCGTTTACCAAAGTCAAACTGCTTAAAATAATACTGAGACAAATTTGATGGTGTAACAATGGTTGTTTCTGATAGTAGCACAGATGATGTCAAGATTTACCACGTCTCTCCTCAGTCATATGTACAAAAAACAGGAAGCAAAACCTTCACTGTCAACTTTACATTGTACTGAAACCTTTTTCAGGGCTCAATATGCAAGATCCTGAGTGCTGTTTCATGTAAGAACATGAGAAGCTCTTTATTAAGAGAACTGTTTACAGTGGTGCTACAACTCTGACTGGCCTTCTAGCCATATGTACACAGAAAGGCTTCCTGGCACTTCTTCCAAACTCCTCCTCCTTTCCATGTTTGATTCAACATAACAAGCACAAACTTAAAACCTCTGGAGAACACTATGACGCTTGTCTCAGACCATGCTTCAAGTGCTAAGTGCTCACGTTTGTGTTGATGGGCTCACAAAAATGTGTGGGGTGAGGGGGTCAAAACTGTTCCCCTTGTCCTGTGGGGTGGAGTGACATGGGAAAGGCCTGACATGTGGGGAACTGAAAGAGGGTTCCCAATATCGTGTGCTCTCCCCAGGTTGCAGGCCATGGCTAGGTTGGCATGCTGGTTTGAACATAGTGTCATAGTATTCTCCAGCAGAGCTGTTTGCTTCTGCATCATGTCCTGCAGACTTTCTTGTATGTCTTTTCATCATTCTCCAAATGCTCTCTTGTGTCCAGGTGCTCCATCGAAAGCCTCTGGCAGTATATCTACAACTAAAAAAAAAAAAGACCTGTGGCACAGCCGCGACTAACCTGGGTCTGCTGTTTTGGACTCAAGGGGCTTGGGCTGTGGGGCTAAAAACTGCAGTGAAGACATTCGGTCTTGGGCTGGAGCCTGGGACCTGAAACGCCTTGAGGGGTGTGCATCTGAGGCTGGGCTCCAACCTGAGCTCAAAAGTCTACACTGCATTTTTAGCCCCACAGCCCAAGCCCCATGAGCCTGAGTCAATTGGCCTGGGCTCTAAGACTCAGTGTTGCAAGGTTTTTATTGCTTGATATTCTGCACCTTATTACTCCAGCCAGCATCTCCTTCCTCATCCTCTTGAGCTTCCTTCAGAGATTTTTCAAATATTCAGCAGCTGATAAGGCCCCTACCAGTGAAGGTCATGGCATTTCAGCTACAGGGGAGCAGAGACCCTGCACAAGAAATTATTGTCCCAATACTAATCTCCATGCCTACAATTATAAAAAGTTAACTTTTTATTTCAGTTTTGGAATGTTGTTGCCATCTGCTCTTCCCATTCTGGGGTGCACTTGGAGATAGTAAGACATTTTCCACCTTACTTTTCCTTTCTTTAGGACCCCTGTAAAGCTGGGTGGGTGGTAGGCTGTGGGGTTGCTGGTGGGCTGACGGTGGGGTGAGGCAGTAGCAGGGGGAAGGTTAGAAATGCATGCGCACCTCAGCAGGCTGTCTTTATGTTGGAGAATGTTATCCTGAGAGACATCCCCAAGAGGCAGAGAAGGGTTAAGTTCAAAAAGGCAATGAGCAAACTGGGAAGACACAGCAGCGCTGCAATTTACCAGCACGGTATTCCCCCAGCTGATGCAGGCATAGAAGGGAAAAACCAAGTGTATGGCTGACCCTGAGAACGCTGCATTGCCTTGCAATGTGCATGTCAAAATACAGCATTTTCTTTTACTTAAATTCTCTTTTATAACAAGTTCAATAAATTTACAAGATTAATAGACTTTTGCAGTAATTGGCTTGAACCCAAGGGATTAACAAAACTGAAGGTCTGATTGAAATTAGCCATGAAAGCTTTATAATCTCTGTATGTAGTGCTGTTGTAGCCGTGTCAGTCCCAGGATATTAGAGTAACAAGGTCAGTGAGGTAAAATCTTTGATTGGACCAACTTCTGTTGTTGTTTTTTGTTTGTTTATTTTCACGATCCTATGACTATAATAATGTAAAATGTATTTTGATAGAGGCTTAGTCTTTTCATCAATGTACAATACACAGCACTTTCTATGAAT